ACGCGACGTTGGCCGATGGCGTCGTTCGGGCTGTCCTTGAACTCAGGCCCGTGCCCCGGGCTTAGAATACGAGGAATTTGGGGGTCGACTTCGCGCAGCGGCCCAGGCGCGGGCTACCGCGCCACGTGCGCAAGGCGCGCGTCAAAGAAGTGAAGCGTCGTGCAAGTCGGGCGGTTCGTCTACGCGAGGCTGGCGCTTGCGCGCGACGTCTTGTCCGTTCTGGTCTCCGGCCAGATGTTCTCTGTGGGCCTGGGGTTACAGGGGTGAGCACTGTGCATATAAGGCAAAACCGTTTTGCATATCGTGTCGCTATGCGTTCGCGGTCTCATCGCTGTGTCACCATGGACCTAGCTCTGGAAATGGTTGTACATCCCGCGTTTCCTGCTCATGCCAATGTTGCGCCGACTTCTCTTGCTTATCGTTGGGGCTCCCTGGTGCCTCAGCACCTCGTGGAAGAGTTTTTTCAATGGGTCATTGGCAGTGTTGGTATAGCCACCTGCCGGGGCTGCCTTCTTGGTCCGGCGTCGTCTACTGCGGCTGCGCTCTTGCGTTTGGGGTGGGGCCTCCAATCTACCGCTCTCCGGATCAACCCGCAGGGTTTGCACGTTAATATTTTTGTCGCTTCCCCCCGCGTCGTCGAGAAGATGGCCGCGCGGGGCGCGGACGCATGGGGGTTGCAGCAAGCTGCCCCTCGCCGCCCCGTGCCGCCCCGCCTCTCTGGTCCACCTTGCTTGCCGCCGCATCGCACTTAAGTCGGAATATCTACGCCGGCGCGGGGGGGGGGGGTAAGTTGTGGCAATCTGATCCGTCAATGCAGGAGCAGTGCATTTGGCGCGCCCCCGTCCTTTCTGCGGGGCGGCCCATGCGGATGGAACCTCTGCTATGCGTCGCCTTCTTTGGGTTTGTGATGGCGCGCAGTCTGATCGACAACCTCGTGGTTTGCCAGCTCACGTCGAACGCGTTCGCGCTCTCTTTCCTAACGATCCGCTCAGGTGCCCCGCCCTAGTCCCTGATCCAGAGAGGTCGTTGCCCCATCCAGCTATGGATTTGGACATCCTATGATTCTTTTTCGGTGATCCGCAGGCTGCGCCTCTACTTGCGTCTGTTTTTGGCGACGGTTCAGGTCTCTATGGCCCTGCGCCGAGAGCATTGCGCTGCGGCTTCTTCGCGGTAGCTGTGGGGCCTTCTGGCGAGGCGCGCGTGGCCGCCTGCGGTGCTTACCCTTGTGTTTATCAGTGCGCGCCTGGTGCAGAAATCTTGGCGCTTCTAGTTTTCTTACTGCATGCTTTGCCATATTCAAATGGTAGATATGTCTATTACAGCGACTGCCAGTGGGTGGTGGGTTCTTGGCGCGCCCCAATTTCTCACGTTGTTTCTGGCTGGAGTGCCCGCTCGGGTATATTGTCGCGCATTCGTGCGAAAGCTGCCGACGTCGGTTACGACAGCATTCAAGTGCGCAAGGTGAAGGCCCACCTCGCTGTCTCTTCACCTGCCCAGGCCGATTGGCTAACAATGGGGAAGTATCATGCTGGCAGGTTTGCCAAGATGGGTGCTCGGCGTCATCCTGTTGATGCAGTTGCTATGGAACGTCTGAGTAGGTCGCGTATTGTAATAGAGTGCGTTGGCAAACGCATAGGTTTTGTAACGTCTCGTGTCCTACCGCGCCTCAATGTGATTCCTCGCCCTCCCCAGGCTGTCCTCCCTCCTTGGCTGTGCCCACAATCCCCGGCGGTTGTTGTGATGCCGCCTGCGGGGGTTCACGTGAGCTGACATGGGACTCTTCTGTGCAGCGCTTTAGGTGCATGGCATAGCCTGTTGATCCTGTGTTGCCAGCAATGACGCGGTTATATGATGGGCTGGGGGACCCAACAGTTGTGTCTCCTAGTCTGGCATTTGTGCTCCATCATGTATATCGTGTGTCTGGTAGTCTTGTGCAGCTAATATTGCCGCCAGCAGCGGGCGGACAATATCGGGCTTGACGGAAGGGGGGGATTGGGAAAAGGTGGGGTTACGAAATCTGCTGCGTGCAGCTGGCTTCGGTCTCACCGAGGGGCCCATTCCTCGATACATAGCCGCCTGTGGCGCTGGGAGACGCGGGGAAAATCAGCTCCGCGAGCTGATTATCACCCCCCCTTTGCTATCCCCCCCTTTCGTCCGGCCCGACAATACTTTTTCTTTTATGGGGGGGTATCTATATGTGTCTGTATATGAGATTTACAAGACTGCAGTGGCGCTTCGCGCCATGCACCTTGGTCCTTGAAGTTTGGTACGCCGGCGAAATAGCAGGAAGGCCAAACCGACAATTTAGCGATAACTCTTTGTTGCGTTTTCCGGCATCGCCGCTATAATAATGTTTTTCTTTATTATTTCTCCATGTTTCTGTGTCTTTATTTTCGCCATACCCTCCGCACACGCCCCATCCTCCTTAGCTCTTTTTTGCGGAGGCTCTTCCTTGGAGAGCCTCTGGGGGCCTCACAAAGTTGTTTCAGGCTCTCTTACGGCCTTATGGAGGCCTCCTTGGCGTATTCTGGGGGCCTCCGGGGGTTTCCTCGGGCCACCCTGCCTCCAACCGCGGTCTCCCTGAACGACCAGGTCACGATTCGGAATGCTTCGGAGGGTGTCTTTGGGCCATTTTGGGCCGCCATGGGGCTCTCCGAGGGCCATCCTGGACTCGCGTTGTGCCGTTTGGGGCTCTTTTGGACTGCCTGGAAGCCCTTTCGGATGGTTGTGGGGCGATTTTGGACCCCCCCAGGCGGCTTCGAACGCCCAGAAGACCGCCGTCTTGGAGCATCGGGAAGCCGAATAGAGGAGAACCGCAGACTTCACCAAAAATCAACAGAAAATCTGTGATTTTTGCCTCGGGGGGTCTTGGGAGTGCTCTTGGAGGCCTCTATGGGGCCGTCCTGGAGGACTCTTGGGCCATCTTGAGGTCACGTCGGTCACTTTTGGAGCGCTCTTGTGCTGTCTTGGGGGTCTCTGGAACGCCCTGGTGTGCTGGGAAGGCTTGGCAAAACGCCCTGCGAGGCCTGGGGGCCGCTTCGAGGCCCGTCTGGAGGTTCCCCAAGCCCCAGATTCCGGGTGTCCGTTTTTTTTTGGGGGGGGGACGGGTTCCCCCCCCGCCCGGGCTTGTAAAAAGATAGGAGGGGGAAAATATAACATGTGAACAAAAGGATGCCTTGGCGGTGACCACGTCTAGGCTTCGTGTTCTGGCCCTTCGCAGGAGCCGTAGTAGGTAAGCTGTTGCTCCCCAGTGTTGGGGCCTGTGCGGGGCGAGCGGCTCGCGCAAAGCGCGGGCGCCCCCTCTCCTTGCCCCCGATTATCTTTTCTTGGACCGTCCCAGTCCCAGTCCCAGCTCGGAGGCAGGCCACCGTCCTAGTCCTAGTCTCCTGCCGCACGCTGCCACTGAGGGCCCTTCGGGGACCCCCCCCGCCTCGTCGACCTGCGCTCCGCGCTGGCGCGAGACCGCCCCCCCCCCCAGTCCGGGCCGTCGGCGCTCGATGTCGGTGGGCCGCCCGATGCTTGCAGGGCGGTGTTTGGATGGTTCCACGGGGAGGGCCGCCGTTTCCTTGTTCGTGTCGTCCCGTGTCGACGCGACTGTCACGCCAACGCGGGCGTTCAAGGTTCGAGTTCGCCAGTTGTCCAGAGTCGGCCAACCTGGAACGTTTTTGGGACAAGAGATCTCGGGAACCAGCGCTGGGGTCGCCACGACACGAGCCTGCCGACGAGAACCCCCAACGAGAACTCCGCACATGAAAGTGTATGGCCTGGGCGAGAACGCCCAACGAGCTGAGACCCAGGCCCTCCTTCACCTCGTCGCTGTCGCCGATCGGCCGCCCATTGCTCGTCGACAGCAAAGCTGCCGCGGAGTGGTCCACACGTGTGTTGCCCGCCGGTCCTGTGAATGGGGGGGGGGGGCATGCCGACCTGTGGAACCACGTCCACGGTCCTCCGCACCATGCCAAATTCCCACCGAGCCGAAAAGGTGGCCAACGATCTGGACCACGGTGCATCGCCGCTGGGCTCATCACGGCTGTCTGCGAGCGGTTCGGGTGGGAAGCGGAGCCCGTGGCCACGGCGGCCACAGCTCTCAGCGACCTAGCCGTCGATGTCGTGGATGGGGCCAGGAAGCGGCACTGCTCGTCGGTGCTCGATGTCGCCGCGGTCGGCATCCACGACCGCAGGTCCCGTTCCCGTGCGTAACCCTTTGCCGTTGCTCCCACGGGCTCGTCTGGCCCACTGCGTGACGGGGGCGGTTTCGCAGCAGGAGGGAAACCCTGCTATACAGCATCTGGCATAGCACGGTACTGCACGTGCCATGCAGGAACCGATAGCAATTTTTCAGAGTGGCATCTTCCATCTCGATCTTCCTTGTCATCCATCTTCATCCTCGTCGTTTTCCTTTTCGTTTCCTCAATCCCCTTCCATTATGCTGAAACTACGTTGTATCAAGCCGTTTTCTCATGCTGCTCTTTCCCTCCTTGCATGACAGTCAGCCATCCCCTTCCGCTTCCTCGGGCTGCGCGATGGGGGGGTTATATGGTTGGCCTGCTTCTACTAGCGATATATACTTACTGAACTCCTCGTCCTCTTTCTTCTGCTCGTTCTTCTGCTCCTCCCCCTCTTTCCCGCTCTTTTACCCTCCCCCTCCCCTTCGGCCTTCCTTTCCTTTTCCTGCTCCTCCCTGTCCCCCCTGAACCAGCTAAGGGGGGCAAGTCTCATGACCCCCTGCCCCTACCAGCCGAAGAGGTACGGGACCGAGAACAAGTATGATATCGGCAATGTGACCACATTTGTGACCGAAAACATACTGTGACCACGTTTGTGACCGACATTGAAGCCAGAATATTCGGGCACACTCGGGTGCGTTCGGAAACATCGGGCGATGGTTGTCGGTTTCTTTCGTTCAGATTTTCAGGCACAACCATGGTCTCTACAGCCCCCTGGTAGAGAGAGGCTACGTGACAAGCCGTTCTCAATGATATAATATCGTCGTTCTTCAGCGGCCGGGGCAAGAGCCTCCCGAGCGCCTTCGATGGCATGATCAAGCTCAAGAGGATGCTCGAGTGGCAGGGTATGGAGTTACCGAAGCATCTCAAGGAGACGTTGTCAAGCGACCCTGTCCCATAGTTTCCTCTCCGTCCTTCTGTCTCGCTGCCAGTCCCGCTCGTTGTCTCCCAGTTGTTCTGCTTCTGTGTCTCCGTCCTTCTTTCTGTATCCCTCTGTTTATGTCTCTACCTTTGTCTGTTTTTTTCGCGGCTGTGCCCTTCGGTCTGTTCTTTTCAGGATCCGGGCCAATCTCGCTCTTTCGCTCCGTCTCCTGCTCTGCTCCTCTGCTTTCTGTGCCTCGTTGGTCTCTGTGCCACCCTCTGGTTCTGTGCCTGCCTCTGCGACTGCCCGCGTCTTTGGCCCAGACGGTTGGTGTGGACGTGACGGCGTCGACAGAAGCGGCGTCAGCGAGTGCGGCGGTGAGAAGACGGGAGGAAGGAACAGCGGTCGCAGCCGCCAGGATCCCGAGCCCTCCAAGCAGATACCCCTGCTCGCCGACGTGCTCGACGGGCTCGACGAGGATTTCGCGACGGCGCGATGGGATGCCGGCGGGAAGAGTCGGGAGAGCACACAAGACACGACGGTGGCGTGCTTGGGTGTGCTCTTCGACGGTTGAGGGGGAGAGCACGGGCGCGCGCTCTTGCTCCTGGTCCCTGGTCCTCGTCCTGGCCCCTGGTCCTCGTCTTGCTCCTGGGTTTGGTTCTGGTCCTTGCCCTCTCTCAGCCATGGCTGGTGGCTGGTGGCAAACCGCTGCCGCCTCACTGCATCTCCCCGGCCCAGCCTTGCCTGGAGGGCCAGAGAGGGCTGGACGGACTTCCACGGACGGCCTGTATGCACCGTGCCGCGCTGGGGCCTCCCCACTTCGGGGCGGCCGACTTTCCATGATGTTTGCAGAGCTGCTCGGCTCAGCCCTACCCCAGTTCCTTCTGCGCCCTCCCTCGCCTCTTTCCCCGCTCTCTGTTCTCTTGTGCCCCGCTTGCCCTCAGGGGACCGCTCCGCCGGAGCTGGCACACAGGCTGAACTGAACTGAGCCAGGAGTCATGCCCTTGTGTCTTGTGCGTCGCGTCTCGTGTCCTCCGCATTCCCGGGGCAGTGCGTGCCCTCTCCAATCAAACTCGACTGGGTGTACCTCGATCACACGACACGTCTTCACACACGGCAGTTCCAATCATCGTCAGTGTTACTTTTTGTTTTCGCCCTGCTGCTGCTCCTCCTGTTCTTCTTGCTCCTCCCCCTGTGGGGGGAGGGTGGGGTTCACTTCGCTCGGGGGCTCCCGTCGGGGTTCACTTCGCTCCGAACGAAGTGAGGTCCTGTCGGCGGCGCGCAAACATGGATTAGCAATCCATGGATTTGGCGCGCGGTCGCCAAATCCATGGATCGGGGGAGGTGCCCTCCCCAAAATGCGGCCGGTGCCGCCTCGTTGGGCGGCGGAAATTTGCGATTTCCAATGGAAGCGGGACCCGTCGCTAATCCACTCCCTTTGATCCATATTTGCGATCGCCTGACCCTGGGCGAAAAACATATCCGTGTCCGCGGACTCGCGGGCTGGCCCCTTGGCCTCGACCCCGCGGATCGATCGACGAGAGGAGCAGACCCATTCCGTGGGGCACCGACTGGTTGTGGAAACGAACCATTTCGGACGTCCACGACTTCGACATGCGGTTCCTCTGCGGTTTCTTCGACGGCGACACGGAGTCCCTGCTTCAGTTCCACCGCAGTTGCGGCGGTTTCGGGACGCGCCCGCTTGCTGCGCCCCGCGCGATGAAAGGGGGCGACGCACTCAATGGGCGGAGCGCCCCAGTGCTGTATCCGAATTACATTGTGCCCATGGGCCCGCGCAACATCATAATCGCCACCTGTGAGAAAACACAGCCGCCGCCGCTGCCGGATTGGTTGTGGAGCGTGGGCGAATCCGGCATCGCGCGGCGTTGGCTCCCAGCCGCCGAGGTCCCAATGCGGGAATGGGACATGGACCGCAGTCGCGGCATCCGTGCGCACTAGAAAAGAGCCCCACCGATCCCTATTGGGAGGGTCGCCCAGAAGGAGCTCACCCCAGTGTCGTCCCACAAGCACCAGAAAGAGGGCGCCAGAACGTCGTCTTCATCGGGTGTAGCCGCGCAGGGAGGGGCGCCAAAGACAGAAGATGGGAACTGCGAGGGAACTCATGGATTGACCTCGATGACTTTAGAGGGAGGCCGCAGTTGCGGCGTGTGAGGCCGCAGTTGCGGCGTGCGTTGGGGCACAGGGAGAGAAGGGAGCGCAGGTGCGTTCGAGGTCGCCGCGGAGCGGCCATGGCAGGCGCAACGAGTGTTGAAGGATGAGCCTCCTCCTCCTCCTCCTCGTCCTCGTCGTCCTCGTCGTCGTCCTCCTCCTCCTCCTCCTCCTCCTCCTCCTCCTCTCCCCCCTCCTCCTCGTCTCCCTCTTCCCCCTGTTCCCCCCTCTTCCCCCCTCCGCATCACAACCGCCATGACTTAACGTCCATCAGGGCCGATGTCAACCACATCAGCATCAATATCAGCATCGACGTCAAACCCGTACCAGCATTACCACCAACATCAACATCAGTATCACTGCCCCGGCAACATCAAGGCCATCATCATCGCGCTCTCTTCCGCAGCCGCTCGCGAGCACTGATCGATTACATTGTGTGAGTGCGCCCAGAACAACGCCCCAGGTGCCAGTGGAAGGCCGCAGTCGCGGCGTGCTCTTGAGACGCCATGACGGACGCCGCAGTTGCGGCAGCTGCGGCGGACTTGGGGCTCTTTCAGGATGCAGTTGAGATCAGAAGGCGCCGAGGGATAGAGACCGCAGATGAGCCCCGCTCCCTGGTGCGCATGATCGCGCCGCGCCCGAGCAACCTTGGCGGTCAATGCTTTCAGGGCGAGATGGTTCGTGAGCTTGCCGTGTAGATCATCGCGCAGGCGGAGGCTGACCGCAAAGGCGTCTGCGTTCAGGAGTACCCGGCAGTTGCGCTTCTAGGGCAGACGGAAGCGAACGTTGCCTTCAAAACGTACGAGCCGTTCAGCCAAGAGAACGCGAAGGGGTTCTTAACATATTGTTTCAATCGCAGTTGCGGAGCCGAAGTCGTGCATGGGCCCCTTTCGCATTATAAGGTGTGCCTCGTTCTGCGGGCGATTGCAGATGGGGCCGAGTGGCCCCGTGGAGCGCGCGAGGCTGAATCGCGTTTTGGATGAGGGTGGCAACGTCGATATGGCCGCAGTCGCGGACCGCGACCCTATTGCCAAGAAGCTCGTGACGGAAGGGGGGTCGCGGATGGAGAACCCCGGGGAGCTTCGCTCATCAGCCAATCCATGAACCAGAGGGCAGATTTTCAGATGCGAGAAAGCGTGATCCACCGCCGCTTTGTTGTGGAAAATTGCCGCCCTTTTCTTCTGAAGCCCAGGCCCCCCCCCCCCCCCTTCCGAAAATCCCCCTTCCCCCCTGCTGGAACCCCCCCCCCTCCCCCCTGCTTCTTCCGGCCCCCCCCCCTTCTCCTAACCCCCTCCCCTCCTCGAGCTCGAAAACCGGGAGGGGGCACTGCCGGTTCGAACCCCCCCCCCTTCGAAAACCGGAGGGGGGGGTCACTGCCGGTTCGAACCACTGAGCTGTCCCACTGTTCCCACCGCTGTCCCCACTGTCCCTACCACTGTCCCCACTGCACCTCTTTCCCATTGTCCCGCCGCCGTCCTCGCCACCGCCTTCGGCGCTGTCCCCACCACCACTGTGCCCTCCACTGTTCTACTGTTTCCACCGCATTCCCACTGTCCCCACACCGCTGTCCCCACCACCACCGTCCCCACCGCTGTCCCACTGCCCCCACTGTTCCCAGCAATGTCCTCACCATTGACCCACCACTACCGTCCCCACCACTGTCCCACTGTCCCCGCCGCTGCCCCGCTGTCCCCTCGCCGCTGTCCCCACCGCCACCGCCCCCACCACTGTCCGCACCCCCCCTCGGTTTTCGAGGGGGGGTTCGAACCAGTATTGACCCACCCCCGGTTTTCGAGCTCGAGGGGGGGGGGTTCGAACCGGTAGTGACCCCCCCCCCTCCCTTTTCATGATGAGCTGGGGGGGGCGGGGGGGAGGGGTTCGAACCGGCAGTGGCCCCGCCCGGTTTTCCGGGGGGGGGGGGGGTTCGAACCGGTAGTGGCCCCCCCCGGTTTTCCGCTAGCAGCGGTAGAGCGCGCTCTTTCTCAGCGTTCCGCGTTTTTTTGTGACGCTGCCGACGCTGCCGCGGCGACCGCAGTCGCGGACCAGAGATTGTCTCGGCAGCTCGATCGGGTCGCTCACGCCCCAGACTTCGTGGAGCTATTTGATTTCATCGTGGGGCTCGGGGGCGGGGGGTCTCCCTTCGCCCCGCTGCTCCTTGAATTCTGCCAGGTTTACGTGACTTCGAAAATGGGAGCTTTGCGACGCGGGGCATTCGGCATAGCGCGGGGGGTCGCAGATTCCGCGCCGTGGGTCGATATTGTGGTGGACATGCGAGCCCACAGAAACGCACCTCCGAAAAAGAAGGGCTTGGATACCGCGGCGTGGTGCCCCGATCCAACATCGTTTTGGGATCAGAAAGTTTGTGGCGCACCTGAATGACATGGGCGCGGCCGTGGTTGCGTTTTCCCACTGCGTGGGGGCGACCGTTGCGCGCGTGGGCGCTGGCGCAGCGCTCGAGTTCAATGCGAATCTGGCCATCCAGGCCGCTTCAGCCTTTGCGAAGGAGCTTGAGGCAACAAAGGTCGGCAAATGAATGTAGTCGATTTTCGCGGCGAGATGCTCCGAAGTTGCATGGGGGCTGTGGGCGGTGTGACTGGCGAGGGCCATGGCGCAGCATTGGCGACCGCAGTTGCGGAGTTTGGCATGGGCCGGAGACCTAGTTGGTTCCCTAGAACTTTCTCAGACGCGCGAGCGCCTGCAACGCAGGGCGCCGCAATTGCGGCGCAGACGGGGGCTGCGGAAGAACAGGGGGCTTCTGCCAGAGGCGCTGGCTTTCGACGCGGTGACGCAGCAATCGCTTACAGCCAGAGTAGCAGACAGACGGCGCCGATGCTCCATTTCCGCTGCCCGTTGCCGAGCGGCAGCAATCGCTAATTTCTCAAGGCCCGGGGAAACCGCGAGCGCCCCGCGCTGCTGTGGTCCTCGCCCTGTGGGGGCGCCACTTGTCCGCAGTCGCGGGGCCGGGCGCTGCGCTGTTTCAAGATCCCGAGTTTGGAAAACGAAACGTAGTGGCGACAACGGACCGCGACGCGGTAACCATCGAGTTTTGGCCATGCGCACCGAAGGCATCCGAATTTCATGAAACCAGCGTGCACCCTGACAGGGTGCACGTGCAGGTGCGCGTGAAGGAGGCCGCAGCTGCGGGCGATGTCCTGGACTTCTACCTCCACCCAGATGTCAGGCTGACGTCGGATGCTGCGCCAGTGGATGTGGTGGAGAAGGGGGCAGGACATGGCAATGGGGTGCTTCCGAATGCATGCGCTGGTCTTGGGCCGCGGGCAAGCTCGCGCCCGCGGAGCTGCGCGCGCG